ACTCGTCTCATCCATCTCTAAAGCCAATCAATCAATAAAAAAAAAGTAAGAAACCAAAAAAAAAACCAAAAAACAAAAAAAACAATTTAGTAGTGATAGTAGTGACAGTAGTGGTAATAGTTGTCAGATGTGATAGCCACAGTGATCAATCTTAAAATGTGTTGATATTGATGTTTAGATAGCTTACAAATTGAAATCTATCAAGTTTTCAAAATTACAATCAAATTAAAAACAATAAATCATATGAAAAGATTTTAATTTGTTAAGAAAATCTCTTGATAAAGAAAATTAAAATCAAATCAAGTGACCAATCACAAACCACAAACCACAACACACACAAGCACTGACATCCACAATCATTTCTGTTTCTGTTTTTTCTAGTGATTTCCATTTGATCGTGAAGCTTCATCAACCATTCACATTGTTCAAACCATTACAATGAACATTCGTTTCTTGACCAGCAGATGGTAACCAACGAGCAAATAAAACAGTTCCTTGTTGACTAAATTGCCAATCCCCACCACCATTTTGAAGATTTCGTTTGATAAGACATGCATCTACCATATCCTTTAAACCTACATTCATCGTATCTGCATGAATCCTTTGCATCTCAATCGAAATATCTCCCACTGGAATCCATTTCTCATCTAATCCCATATTACAATATGCTGAAATCGCTCGTCTTCGAATCCAATCAGACGTACTTTCTTTGATCGAAGCTGATCTATTACCCACTGAAGATGGAATGATAGGTGGAATCGATGGAAGATGTGATTGTAGAGGCGTACATGGCACATGAGGTGGTGTCTGATTAGAAAGCATAGAAGAACCCCATCCGGCACCAGTGATCGAAGATGGTGTGGCTCCCCAGATGCTACTCCCCACCCCAAGCCCACCGTCAAGTGAAGCAGGTGAGAAGAACGATGTGGGTTTGGCCGGTGAGATGGCAATGGGATTGACAGGTGGAGGATTGGAAGGAATACCCTGTCGGTGAGTCGAGTCGCTATCAAGGTCATCGTCCTCGTCCGCCAATAAGGCTGAAGATCCCAATACATTTGAAGGTGAACGAGGTGAGGTTCCAGTAGAGATCGAGTTGGAATCTTGATCGCTATTTCCACTGATCGGACCCATCGTGTGCATAGAACCGTTCATCCTTGAGCGGCCGATAGGCTCAATGGAATTAAATAGTCCAGCATGTGTAAAATTATCGTCTACCACAGACTTGCGACGGTTGTGGAGCAATGAAGGACCGATTGGACCAATAGCACTCGCACTCGCTTTCCTGACTGGCTCACTGCCGAGGTGCAAAGCGCTGAGCGGACTAGTGGCTGAAGCGAGGCTTGGACTCATAAAACCGGAAGGATGAGTAGGAGTCGACGGTGGTAACGATGAGATCACACTGGGTCGATGTGGCATCTGTAGTTGTGGTTGGGCAGCCGAAGTGGTAAGTGCAGGGCCCGAGAACACACGACCCACGTTCGGTTGCATCATCGGACTCATAGGTGGTGGCGGTTGGAAGTTGGCCATGGGAAGAAATGCAGAATGCGGCACATTATTGTTGAGAGCAGGATGCATCTCTAGCGGTAGGTTTTGTAAGTTCGAAGGACCGCATGTATTGTGTAATGGGAACGTTGAAGCTCCATACTGGGCACTAGGAGGCCTTGGAGGTACATTGTTAAACGAAGGCATCGAGGGTATAGCAGCCGAGAAAGGCGGAGCGGCAGCTGCTGAAGCCGGTCGTCCCAATCCGATCCCTACAGACATTTGCCTAGGCATCATTGAGGCAGGAGGAGGTGCGATCGGTCGACTAGGCGTGTGATTTGGGAAAGGTGGGACGGGCGTCAACGGCTGAGCAGGTGGAACAGGCGAGACTTTAGGCGGAGGAGCTGTTTGCTTCGCGGGAGTTGAACGTAGAGAAACCACTGGGCGTGGTTGAGCTTTTTGATGAGCAGCAGCAATAGCGGCAGCGTTCTTGTTCTGCGCTGCGAGTTTTGCGGCAGCCGTCTAGGAAAACGAGAAGTGAGTTAGAGATGAAGAAGAAAGAGACAAGTATGATCGTGAGGATGACAACGCACCTTGATTGCTTCGCGTTTGGCTATCTCTTCGGCCTCTTTTCTGTCCAATTCCGCTTGCCGCAAACGCTCAGCTTCTTCTTTAGCCCGGGCTTCTCGAGCTTCCTTCTCTTTCCGATCTGCCTCGACTTTCATCTTTCGTTCTTGTTCTTCTTTCACTTTCTTTTCGCGTTCCTCCCGTTCTTTTGCTGCTCTGGCTTCTTTCTCTAACCTCTGCCTTTCTTCCTTCTCCCTCCTCTTCCTTGCTTCCTCTTCTATCCTTTTCCTTTTCTCCTCCTCCTTCTTGGCACGTTCCGCTTCTTGAACTTTTCTTTGGGCCTCGCGTTTCAACCTCGTTTCTTCCTGCTTACGCCTCTCAGCTTCAAGTTTAGCTTCCTCTGCAGCTTTCGCAGCCAATTCTTCTTGTTCTTTATCTTTGAGTTTCTTAGCCAAGTCTTGATCCTTTTGTTGCTTTTGAGCTTTCTTTTTCTCCTTCTTTTTCTGAGCATCCTTGACTTTTTTCAATTCACGCTCTTGAGCAAGTCGATCTTCATCTTCCAGCTCCCTGAGAAGTTGAGCCTGTTTTTCTTGTGCAACTTTTTCTCGGTAAGCAGTCAAGACACGTTGTTCGAACATCCGAGCAGCGAAGATTTGAAACATCCGCCTTCCTTCCTTCATGCGGTACTCCTCGGTGACAATTTCGTCGTCAAACCCGTCATCATCATCCAGCTGTACCACGAACCCGTCAGGATAGAGAGAAATGTCGTCATAAGTATTCAATCCAATATGCTGATGTAAACAATGCTCACCTCATCTTCGTCTTCATCCTCCTCGTCATCATCGTACTCCTCTTCATCATCCTCATCATCGTCTAGACCAGCAAGAAGATTTTCAGCGGCATCCCGTTCGCGCTGTATCCGTTTATCAGCCAAAGATTCCATCATTTCCAAAAACTTTTGGCCATCGTTTCGCAACAGATCATCCGCAACGGTCAAGATACCTCCTGGACCGGGACGCAAGTGTGAGATCAAGGTTTCACGCAACAGGTGGTGAGACGAATCAAATCGATGATTTGAGAGGAAAAGGGAATGTGAAATGGGAGAAAAAGGACGCAATGAGCTCAATACACGTTGTGTTCAGAGTGTTGCAACTTGCTGGTTTCAGGATGATTGTTCAGGACAGGCAGAAAATGAAGGAAAAGAAGCTACTGACCTTTGACAGTGAGTGAATTCCCAAATCCAAACAGATCGCTATTGTTATTCGTCGTATTGGGCTTATCTCCGTTGGTGACCTTTGGGTTATAAGACGAGAGATTACCATTCATCTGAGGTTTCTTTGTTCCAGGATTAGGTACTTCGCTAGGAACTTCTTCTAGGGCGGGTATCTCATCATCGTCTTCGAACTCTTGATCCTCCTCTTCTTCCTAATAGGTACACAAAAGAACAACAATGGGTCGTCAACATCAAGTCTCAAGATCCAGGAAAGGGCGCATCTGTACTAGGCACAGCAGAGAGAAAGTTTCAAATCGCATGAAATGATGGAACCAACCTCCTCATACTCATCCTCGTCCTCTTCATCGTATTCATCTTCTTCCTCTTCTTCATCGCCGTCGTCATCTGGAAACATGTCATCTTCTACATGATGCTGCGACCTCTGATGACAAGATAGAGATGGGTTATGATTCGAGACGGCTTTACCGTGGGTATTTGTATTCGGATGGTGATGATAGTGGTTGGGTCCGTGGTGATGGGGATGATGAGGACAGCTAGGAGAGTGTGTGTGATCCTGGTCACTGTTGCTATTATGAGATAGTGCTTTTTTTGGTTGAGGCGGAAGCGGTATCGTCCGCTTTCCTGGCGGCTGCTGAGGGTATGGAGAATTTGAATTTACAGATTGTATAGGCGGATGTGTCTGGTGTGAATTAGGTAAAGGACGAGGTCGGATATTTTTGTGATCGCGGGTTGGCTTTGGAACTGCCTTTTTCAAAGATGACTGATTGTTCGTTGGCTGAACGTTAGTCGTCATGACATCCACACTGCCAGGGAATGGGCCAGGACCGGGTGGTTTGGGATACCCAACTGGACTTTTGACGCCTTTCATCTTCAAGTCAGAGCCGTAGTACTTCTTACTCGCTTCAGCATAGTTCTCCAACTCATCGTAATATGCATCATACAAAACTTCCAGTTCCTGCTCGATTGCCAGTCGTTTCCTTCCACATACTGCACAAGAACATGAATGCCGCTGCTGTTCTTTCATCTTTTTGAGCACTGCATCCTTCTCGATCTTCACAAGGTTCGCGCGCTCCTCTTGATTCAAGGTCAGCCAGAAGTCTCGAATTCGCTCGCGTTCGGTTGGTGGATGTGATGGATTGTGATTTGGGATGACGTTTGAAGTAGCCGGTTTATGGTTGTCCCTCACGCCAGTTGTAGCAGGAAGCCCAGAGGCTTTTTTCTTGGATACGCCATTGTTGGGCATTGGTGGTAATCTTGATATTGGAGGTTGATTAGCCATATGATTCGGTGGTTCTGAACAAGGGTTCCGGCCAGGTGGTTGTGTAGAATTTTTAGACGGATGTGGGATAGAAGGAACTGAGGTGCGATGATGAGATACGTTTGGGACCGGCTCTGGATTAGGAGCCGCTTCGTTCGAACTAGCATTGGCCTGTGAAAATTCACAAGGGGTGATAAAACATGAACAGACATCCCATTATGATAGATAGTGGTAAACGAGATCGATCACTTACCGACTTCTTCTTTTTGTTTTTCTTTTTTTTCTTCGTACCAGTTGAGGGCGCTGGTAAAGAGCTATGATTTATACCCATATTGCTATCGTTGCTGGTTTGCTCCGATAGATTATGTCGGCACCCGGCCGCATTATTGTTTAGTGACATGTCATTCCGTGAAATCCTTCCATCATCGCTGTAGTATTCATCGTCCAAGACGCCCTCATCCCCATTAGACTTGTCGCCCATGCGAGAGGTGACAATGGTGGTTTCTCCAGTATAGTAAACCGGTTCACTGACGTTGACGCTATGGGAGTGGTGGTGAGAATGATCTGGATGAGAGTGCAAGGGTAGTGGTAAAGTAAAACTGCCGAGTGGTATAGTCCCTGTCACCGTGCCACCTGTCACGCTTACTGTTGCAGCTCCGCCATTGATGTCTCGGCCAAAGTTGTGAGAGGGCCGAGTATTACCATTGAGAATGTGATTCATGCTGTTAGAATGCGTTAGCCCTGCTTGTTGAGCGGCTGTGGACACTGCTCGACCCCAATCATGACTCTGGACAACGCGCGCAAGTTGTTCAGCCGCCGCAGCCATCTGCTCACTTGAGAGCTGAGGTACAGATTGTGAATTGTTAGAGCCAGTGGTCGAAGTGATCATGCCAGTAGCGTGAGCAAATGATGATAGATTGGGTAGAACAGGGGGATGATTCTGCGAGGATGGATTCTGATTAGAGTTTGCTGATGAATGACCTGCAGCCAGAGGGAGTGCTGATCGAATGAATGAGCGCAGATGAGATGGTAAGGAGGTCCAATATGCGTCATCATCCGGATGAGGTGCGTGACCGTCTGTGGTAGACGAGCAAAGGTTAAAAGTGCGAAAGTCGTGGCAATAGGCAACGAGGATGAATCAGCCATGCCAAGGAAAAGAAGACTGGGAACTGGCGCCAGGTTGAATAGGTCGTTCCCAAAGAGATGAGCAAGTGAAGAAAAAGAACTCACTCTGATTTGAGTGGCCACTTCCGCCTCCGTGTATACCACCAGAAGCCGGTGAGTTGTTGTTGCCGATGTTAGCTAGACTCTGAGGGCTAAGATGAGAAGCCAGAGCAGCCGCAGCCGCAGTCTCGATCTGCCTATAGAGGTCGTTTGCAGTAGCTAATAAATCTTCTTGGGTTTGGCGAGTAGCGGCGGCAAGACTCGGATGCATCGCATGAGTCGTTAGCCGCTCGTCGTCATCGTCCTGAGAGACACTCCCTGTTGTTGTCCGTTGAGTATGAGACGAAGCGTCCTCATTGGGGTAAGCACCAATCATATCAGATCGATCTGCAAGACTCCCTGGATCTTGATGATCAATCGACAAATGGTTCTGATTCGAGTCGAACTGACGAGCTTGGGCGGCTTTCTTCTTATTTTTCTTCTTGGCAGCGTTCGAGGTCTTTGATTTTGGCATCGTATCAAAAGATGCGGGTAGAGAAGGATTTAAAGATAGAAGACTAGTTGTTTCGAAATGAAAATGATTGATTCGGTTCTTAGCCACCCGAGACGTTCAAGGTAAGACCAAGAAAATGATGATTTAGAGTACTGTTTTGAAACGAGGAGGGTTATAAGAAAAGGGTCCGAAAAGGAGAAGGAAGTTAGCCTGGTTTACTTTGAAGAAAAAGAATCTGAATATAAAAAACGAAGGATACTCACCTCACCGGTAAAGGAATAGTATAAATCTGAGCTAGTACTGCAGAAAAAAGAGCCAAGATTGAGTAAGTTCAGAATGATCGAAAGATGAAAAGTTGAGACAAGATGAAAGGGTGAATTGATAGTTGGATGCCGTTTTGAATGATCAGTTAATTATGATTTGAAAAGTGAGTGAATCTGATGATGATGATGAGTGAGTTTGATGACTGAGTGAGTTGTTGACTGAGAATTGTGATGAGAAGATGAAGTAGATTGTTGAATGTTGATTGAAAGGAAGTGAAGTGAACAAACCTATTTGAAGCTTCGAAAAGGGGTTGAGTGATTGATGAGATATTTTTGACTGAGATGAAGATGAGAATCAAATGAGTCAAATCGAAGTTGATGGTTTGAAGTAAGTAATCTTTAAAAGTAAACAACCATACTATCAATTTCAGTATGTAGTCTAATATGTAGTCAACTCAATTTTGGATTTGGTCATTTACATTCATGTTTGACTTTGGATTTGGGAATCTTATGGTATCTTAAGACTCTACTTAACCCTAAATTCAATTCAATCATCGATCTTTTGAAAAAAAAAAGATTGAGAATTAAAATCGGTTGCTTAAGTCAAAAGTGGTTGTCAAGAAAACCCTTCAATCGGTTTACCAATTCTCTCCTCTTGCTGATCGAGAATCGTTCCAGAAAACTCATCATCAGATTTTAAATCCACACACGTCTCAACTCATCAAAAACTAATCTCACCCACCACATTCTAAGTTCATCTTAAAACCATCTCATATCTTCATCTAATCATCCTATCAAACATTCCATTAGATATCCAATCATCCTTCACTCCTATCATCATATCCTACCACACGTTTATTGAGTGGATTTATCATTACACCCTTAATGAAGCTTGCCATATTTATCCTAATAATAAGCATACAGCTTGGAAAGTACAATCAAAGTCTTACCACCATTCCACTATAAGTATGTTGGATGTTGAGAAGTAATATCTGAACTTCAAAAGTTACCACTGAAAACTAATAAAATGCAGCCCTTTGACATATGAATTATGGTTGTACATATTTGGTTTGCTAAAAACACAGTTCATTCCTCGAGTCATACTCTGTCATACTCTTGAGCTTTCATTGCCGTGTTTGTTTATTTACCAGGCACACCAAAATTAATGCAATTCATAAATTGCTATAAAATTAAGTTACGAATAACAAATCCATATATAGTCCTCTTCAAAGGAATATGAGGTGTAGGGCCAATAAATATTGAGGACTCATAAGCCTTCCCATTAGGAGGTGAGATTTCATTTTCACGACTTTGATGATAGTAGGTTGAAGCAGATCTGAAAGCATAGTTCATCTCAAGCTTCTAGAGTTTAGACCTTACCAAAATGGTCCATACTGCCTTCAAGGATCTTTATTTTTTTTGGACCCAGCCTTGATAATTCCAAAGTCCTGCAAGGGATTTTGACATGGCTTATGTCCTGGCCCTTCCTGAGCCTTCCTGACCTATATCTTGGATCACACCAGCTGCAGCTGTATCAAACGATCTCTGAGTTATTTCAAGATGCAAGCTCTGTATTACATAGACATTGGATTGATGGTCAAAGAGAATAGTCCTACCAAACACCATGGATCCATTCCAAAGCCAAAAACTTGTTTTCTGCGCAAAATATTCAATCAGCAAAGGTTTTTGGGTGCATGATGTGCTTGTGGTTTGTGGCCAAAGTTTTGCATGTATATCAAGATATTCAAGTGATATGTTGAAAATGCAATAATGGGTTCAACTATTGAGATCCTTCAAAGTGCCACTTGAATTTCAAAACAACAAATTGGTTTTGGCCCTGGGGGTGTGTTTTACTCAACAGTCCTGATGTATAACAACCATGCTCAATCAAAACATGATTTTTTTCCTTACCCATGTTGATGTCAACATAATGTTGACCTAAGCAGAGAACCCACCTCACAACAATCAGTCAAAAGCTTAAGTGACTACTAGATAATTTCTCTCCCAGGTGACTTACCTTGCCCTTGAACAAGCTAAATCATTTGTTAACTGCAACCCCTCATCTCCAAACAGATAAGCTACCATCACACAACCAATGCTTTACATGCTCAAAGGCTAACCATCAGAAAAAACTTAGCAGAAATATCTCAAGTACACGACAGCTCAATTGAAAGGACTGAGTGGTTGAACAGTTACTTCAGACATCCACGAAAATGAGAAAAAGAAATGCTTGCTGTCTAAAACATAATGTTTCTTACAGTTGTCGAGACGTGGTTGATTAAGAACATCACAAGCCTGGTACATCTGAGAAACAACGGAGATAAAGATAATACATGGGAGTCATATATGGCACGTTTAAGACGCATCACCTATTTAAGTGAACTGAACCGGTTGGCCGGGCTGTCCTTTAGAGAGAAGAACCACAGCATATTTCCCGCTGATTTTCCACCCCGGTTCTTCTTTGTCAAGGCGTGTCGCGTCTTCGTCAGTGATACCAACTACAACATCTGACTTGATGGTTCTCAAAGAAGCCACGGGTGGGGCCCCAGCTTCCGAAGCCAATGGCCCAATCGCCACGTCAAACGGGGTGTTTGGAGGTGCATGACAATCGTACGTCAACTTGCGATGATTAAGATCACCTTTGAAAAGAACCAAGTCTGAATCAGAGAGATGTAAGAAGAGATCTGGCGCCTCGTTCTTAAGGTCCCAGACTGTTTTGCAGAGTCGTGGTGCAAAAAAACCTAATCGTCATTTTTCTGCCGCAGAAGGGAATTGTGACAGCGCAAGACTCACAGGTGTAACCAGTGCACCAAAAAGGATGTTGTTCATAAATCCATTTTCCTTCTTTTTCGTATTGCTAAAATGCTCAAACGCGTGAGTCAGAGCATCTACTTCGTCATGTGAGGTGAAGAAACGGATTTACTTTCCATCTTTCTCCCAATCGCTTGAGACTGGCAAGCTCGTCCTCGGTCTTGTCGGTGAACAGGTGTCCGTAGACCATGGAGTTCAATAACCAGTTCCAGTCTTTACGAGTGACATCCGAAACTGGAGATAGATGATCTTGGATAAATCACAGCTACGACAAAGATGAGTAGGGAAAGAGCGCACCAAACCACGCAAATCGTTTTCCGTGGAATCGAACTTGGTTGACTAAGCCAGATTGTATCAAGAAATCGGCATAGACACAGTCGCAGTACAGCTCAAAGCCAGCATTGTCGAGAACAAAGTCCACCCGACCGCCCTTCAAGGTCGAGACATGCTCCCACAATTTGCTCAAATCATTGCCCAAAATATTTTTTTCGGTGTCTGCTAGGTGAGCTCCTCCAGTGGATTGTAAATTCTTGATGTCTTCTTCCGTCATCTGGGGGTGTACGTTTCTATATAAGCGAGGAAGCCATGTCAAGATAAGCTGGGAATTTAAAAACTGACATTGATCAAAAGGGAAAGGTCGGTTGCATTGCCCCATAAGCAAACTTGAGTCAACTCGGCGAAAAGCAATTTGAGCTGATCTTGTTTGGCTGGGCCTTCTTCTTCAATCATCTTGGGAGGGTCTGCGAATCTGGTAGAGAGCTCGAAAACAGCATCGCCAGAACGCGAGAACGTATCGGACTTTTGACGGAAAAACACGTCACTGAGGAATGGGAGCGGGCGCCACAGGTAGACCATGAGTTACCCTTGCGTTTGAGATTGGGAAAGAAGTGTACTCAGAAGTGAACAATATTTACTAGGCGCTCCAATATTTGGACACACTGAAGCACTCGTGTAATCGGCGATATTTATACGCCTCAGCAAAAAGCCACGGGGCATTCATGAAATCCTTTCCACGAAAGTAACGAGCAATTTCTTTGTTCCAGAGAGGGATATCACCTTCTCCGTCGTCAACAATTGGACGAAGCTTGGACTAGATTTCGAACAGACACAGTAATGGTCAACAAATCGGGCGCATGCAATCAGAGATCGAACAAAATCGTCTGGAAAACTAGAACCGCCTCGCAGGGCAATAACACTCACATTTTGATGAAGATCATCCATCAAGTCCTCCATACGTTCGATGCAGCGGACCAAATCCACAATGCGTTCCTCTTCGCTCTCTTCATTCAAGGTTTTGATTGTGTCGTCGATTGCCTTGCCCAAGATGGTAGGAAGTCGCTTTCCCATGGTTGCGTGCGCGAACGAGTATTCTACAAGGAAAGAAGCTCAGCCATAATTCAGGCATGGGATTTACCAAGAAAGGTGACACTGAAACGTACCGTGATATCCCCGGTATGCAGGCCATGGAGGGTTGTTGGGGTCGACGCGGGATGGGGTACGAGGATACTTGAAGAATGGAGGTAAGGATGAGAAATAACCAGCAGGAAACACCAACAAGGCGCCAGAGAGTAAGATAACACACAAGATTCTGACCAAACCCAACCTGTTTAGGTGGTAGAGCACCGAGGTTAAGGATGGTTCGTTTGGGAGCACCGGAGACAGGAGCATCGGTCATGATAAGTATTTAATGATAAGATAGATGGAATTCTAAACGATATGCTACTCGAGGAAAAGACGTCGAGCTTCGAATGGGTTTGATTGGAAAACTGATATTTTAAAAAGGTAAAGAGGATAGAAAGGAAGTCCAAGAGATTTCCAAAACCAAATCAAAGGATTAGAGAAGGAAACAAGACACTAGAAAACCGTCAACGTGATCGGAGTCTTATGGAGTTGACATTACCTGATCTCTATCGCAGATGAATTGATGTTTATCAATTCTGAGACAAAGGTTGAGTTTCACTACACGTTCGAGAGTTCAATCGATGAGCCCCGTAGCCCTTTTTTATATGAGATAGGAACAACCTACCAAATCAATGGAAGTGATTTATTGAAGTTCAAATCATCAATCGATCATGAAGAATAACTTGAGCAACTCAATGAAACCTTGCGATGACATCATACCCTCCATCGTACAGCTGCAATACCTCTGAAAAACCATGCATACGTAGCCACATACATACAAGTTACAACACAAGATATGCACAGCTTGTAATTATAAACACATGTACTTGAATATCATACTTGAAAATGCGAAGTGAAATTAAAAGGTTGGGGGCATGGAACATGGCAATGCCAACATTCCAGGTATGGATCAATTGCAAAGAAGAAGTGTTCCAAGTCTGATGAAGCAGATCGTGTAAAAAAACTCAAAGCCATTAAGCCAGCACAATTTAGGGTCAAAGAGCACTCTACCGCAGAAATTCGTCTTTAGGGACCAAAAGGTGCGGGGTTTCTGAGGTTGGATGCTTGATTTTTTTTTTTTTTTTTTTTTTTTTAAGTGCATACTGGCTGAATTGCATGAAACACTAACTAAACAAGTTACAGAAAGAGGGAAACCAGTTACCTTGGGGAGACGGCCATCTGATCGGAGCAAAGAAAGTCAGTGTCTTTAGATAGTAAATGATCACTCGTTTTTGTTATTATGTATGTTTATACATATATATATATATCTATATTTCTATTTTTTTTATTTTTTTTTGAATAATATTTATTCATTTTCTTTGTGGTTTCCACAGAGCTGAGCAGGCATTTGATCTCCCTCTCAAGCCCCCTATCCTAGCGTCAACCGGAGTCACGGGGGAGAATGAGAGTTGCAATATGCGTGAAGAACAGTGATGAGGACCGTACCGAGATTCTGGATTTAGCCAACAAATTAAAATATCAAGCCAATTTATTTGGTTGAAAACTGCCACGACGGTAGTATCCGCCGAACTTTGTAACAAGATGAAGCAGTACGCTGTTTCTGATGTTTTACAATCTATCCCTGTTACACGGGCATTTATCAGCGATTTGGTTTAGGGATATAGGCCCAGATGAGTTGTGACTGTCTCGACGGTAGTATCCGACGAACTCTGTAGTGAGATTAAACAGTACATTATCCCTGATTGATTTACCATCAGGATCCAACTACATGGAATTAGATAATGATTTTTTTTTTTTTTTGAGATGAAAGACATTTATTCACTTCTGACCCTTCGATCTTTGCTCCGCGGCCGTTCCCCTTGGTTAGGATCCTGTATATAAGAATTAAGATGCAAAAAACGTTTAGTGTTACAAATGAATTCAGCAATGAAAGGGAAAGCTTTTGGAGTATCAAGTAATTTAATCGTGTTGTTCCAGTTCACTTTAATCTTTTCTTCTCTGAGTCTGTTGCGCATCCTCTTTCTTGCTTTTGAGAATCTACTGCAGTAAAGAAGAAAGTGGTTAGTGTTTTCTTCGAGGCTGCATTTTTCGCAGCGGGAGGAGTTTGTTAGCTTTCTTTTAAAGAGATGTGCATTGAGTGGGCTGTGTCCTGCTCTCAATTGGAAGATGGCCGCAGCTTCTCCTTTCTCTAATTTATTAAACGCTTCTGAAATGAATTTTGCCTTAGTTTGATAAGGTTTTGTGCCGGGAGATAGGTTGACGTTCTTGACATTGAATTTTTCTTTAGTTTTCTTTTTCAGGCTACCTAGACTCGTTGGTAATGCTATACTGTTTGTTTGGTTGGTGGCGGCTTCTCCTGCTTTCTCATCTGCCTTTTCGTTTAGATCGATGTCCTCGTGACCCAGTGTCCAGTAGAGTCTGATTGGGACATTGGGTGGGATCTGTTTCAGACGTGATCGGATTTTGATCGTTAGGTATTGTCCTGACGAAGCTCGGGGCGTGTCGTGAGTTAGGCGTAATACCCCTTGGTTGTCACTGAAGATCGCTAGACCTGTAGGTGGTGGGTTTTGACGTCTAAAAACTCCGTTAGCTAAATCAGCAGCTAGCAGAATACCCATAAGTTCTGCTTCGTGATTAGAGTAAGAGTCGTTCTTCTTTAGGGAGATGGCTTTGTCAGTGTTTGTCGTCACTGCTGCTGCCCCTCCCCCATCCTGATTTACAGCACCATCTGTAAAAATGATAAGTGAACGTTTCGTCGCTTCGTCTTCGATCTGCTTGGGGACTAATTTGATGGCCTTGTCTCTAGGCACATCAAGATTGGTCAGTTCTCCAATGTTTTTGGTCCAGGGAGAGAGTGAGTGGGCGAATATGGTTTCTGCATCCGTTGGGATAATCTCGTTGAGGTGTTGAGCTTGTAAGACATCCTGAATAGGTCCTTTATGGGACTTTGGGCTTGTTTTGAGTTCGTGCTCGATGAATACTCTAGTAGGGTGGTAGTCCGGGGATGTCGTTCTCTTGAGGATGAAATTGTGATGTTGTTTTGAGGCCGTCCATTCGAATGGTAGCATGTATGTGTCGTGTTGCATTAGTGTGTTCGGTGAGCCCTTGAAAGCACCTGTTATCATACGGTTAGCATTATTCTGTATGACGTTCAGGACTTTGTTAGTTTTTGTACAATTCTTCTTGGTGAACCAGGCTATGCTTCCATAGAGTATACGCGGAATTAAGATTGTGATGATCAGTTTTTTGGCTTCTTTGGGGGAGAGGCCTGAATAACAACGATTTATTCTTCCTAACTGTAGAAGAGTCGTGTTAGCTGTTTTTCTCATGTGGTTTATGTGAGTAGTAAAGTTTAATTTGGGATCCAGCCAAAGACCCAGCCATTTAACTTCGGACTTGGTTGTCAGGATTGTTTCACCAAACTTGAAGTTTGTTTGTTCGACACTGCGTTTGTTTGAAAGATGCATTAGCTGAGCTTTCTTTTGGTCAAAGATCGCTCCATGTCTTTTGGCCCATTCCAGGGATTTGTTGGCGTGTACTTGAAGTTTTACTAAGTTTGACTCGATAGATTTTGAGGCCACTAGATAAACAACATCATCTATGAAACCTAGAGCGAGGTCCTTGGATGAAGGTGAAGGGGGTATTTTGTACAATAGTTCTGAGTTGTAGATTAGGTAGAGGATTACTGAGAGTGGTGAGCCTTGGGGTAGGCCGTTGTCGATTTCGAAAGCTTCCGAAGTAAAGTCCTGCATGTGTATGTTAGTTGATCTGTTTATTAGGAAACCTTTGATCAGATTAATTAGGTAAGTTGGGCAGTTAGCTTCTTTTAGGATGAACCAGAGTCTTTCTCTATGTACTGAAGGATACGCCGACTTGACATCCAAGAAGAGCGCTGTTACCATTTCGTCATTTCTCCATTTCTCTTTTATCCACGAGGTCAGGATCAGGAGGGCATCCTCTGTACTATGTTGTTTCCTACCCCCCATGTGGCTCGGGGAGAGAGTTCTAGAGAATTCAGCCCAAAAGGTGAGTCTGTTTGTTAGTATTTTCTCTAGGACTTTGCCTAGGCAACTAAGGAGGGCTATGGGTCTGTATGAGTTTGGGTTTGAGTAGGAATCTTTGTTAGCCTTTCTGATGATGATCGTGGTCGCTTTCCTCCATACATTAGGGAAATGACCAAGGTAGAAGCAGGCGTTAAAAATGCAGCAAAGCTTGTCTTCGATTACTGGGAGGACCAGTTTCAGGAGTTCATTGGAAATTTTGTCGTCTCCTTTGGCCTTTCTGCTTGGGAGGAGTTCTACCACTTTCCTGAGTTCGTCGGTCTCAAGTTTGGGGTGAGTGGGGGAGATTTGTTGGTGATCTGTCCAGTAATCCGGAGGTATATCCGTTAGGTCTGCGTCGATATGGGCGACAGATGTGCCATAGAACAGTAGGCCGGCCTGTTCGTTTTTGTCTGTAGCCGTGGATCCATCTGGGCGTAGGAGAGGTGCAACTTCTCCTGAGGACGTTTGTTTCGTGTATCGAAAAGCCTTAAAGGTTTCCTGTTTAGAGCAAGTTGCTAGAAAACGTTTCCAGTGAGTTGTTTTTGTCTTTATTACCTGTTGTCTGAAGTACTTTTGCCATTCGATGTAGCAGGTTCTGGCTTCCGGGAGATTGGACTTGATCATCCAACGACGGGCTCTGTTGCGTGCTTTGATGATTGGGTTGAGGGTGTCTGTATCCCACCAGCTCTTGTATTTTCTCGGGTTTGTTTGGACTTTTTTACCTTGTACTTGGGCCGATTCCAGGATAATTTGGGACAGAGTTGTTAAACCTGTGTCAATTTCGTCCTCTGAATTGAAGGCATTCCGTATGTGGGACTGCTCTGTTAGTATTCGTTCGTGGAGCTTCGGGATATCTAGATCTGTGATTTTAAAAGAGATGTGTTCAGGACGCTGAGGGATGATGGTTAGATCTATTATCGTGATGACTGGGAGATGGTCTGATGCTATGTCATCTTGGATAACTTTGCATTGTGATACTTTTGCCGTGAGGTTCCAGCTGGTCCAAATCAGGTCTATTGCTGTGGGATTTGTGCCTGTGGAGAAACATGTTGGAATACCCTTTTGGGACGTAAGGGTGAAGCCTGACGAGCTGCATAGGGATAGTAACTTCCTAGCTTGCGAATCCGTTCTGCGGTAGGTTGGAGGGTTCCAGATTTGGTGGTGAAGATTGGAGTCTGTTGTTATGATAGTCGGGATTTGGCGGTTGTGGTTTAACCTCAGCCATCTTTCCAGAGTGGCTAAGCCTCTCATGGATGCTGGTGGGTTGTACCATGTGATCACTCGTATTTTGGTGTGGGTGTTGTCATGACTTCTGATGTTGATTGCTAGGATAATGTCGGACATGCTGGGTAGAAGGGAGATGAGAGCTGTCGGGATGAGTTTCGAGACGTAAAGGCATACTCGTGGGCGTTCTTCCCGGCGTTCTTCCCATGAGTTTGGGTGGTAATCGTATGCTGTAATTACGTGCCAAGCTTCGTGTGAGGGAAATGATAGGGAGTGTGGGTTAAACCAGGGTTCCTGTAATGCTAGGATGGTATATTCCGTTTTCGTGAGGACTTTGTGTGTAAGGTCGATTGATTTTTGGCAGTTGAAATGGAAGATCTTGAGCTTATCTAGGGAAGGGAGGGTGTTAGTACTTTTGTCTGTTTGGGAATTTTCAAGGTCATCAGTTATATCCGGTGGTAGTTGGGGCTGGTTGTTTATGATTTCACTGTCCCTATAACTCATTGATATCAATCAGTGATTTGGAAGGGATTTGAAATTTTGTCTTACGCAGTGGGCAGGATAGGCTTTTTGGTGAGTGTGAGTATTTTGAAATTGATTTATCAATTTCAGCGTCAGTGTTGTGTGCGTCAAAACTTATGCAACGTATGCATCTTTGGTCAGCTTCTGCGTTCATACAGTCTCTAGTGTTGTGTGGGTCACCGCAATGAGCGCAAAATGGGATATTTTTGCATGAGGTGTGTACATGATTCAAGTCTAAGCAGTGAAAACACATAGTCGGGCCTTGTATGTACTGTTTGCTTTTGAGCCTGGTGCAATCAACAAAGATCCCACCTTTTTCCATTTTCTGAGCAAGTTCACGGTCGAGTAAGTTGAGCACAATGGTGCCGTGTTGTTTTTTGGTGTCCAATGGGTTTTTGATCCATCTAGCAGAGTGGAGGGATTCGAGCGGGATGTTGTTCTGTTCGCTGACCTTTGTGAGAAATTCTGGTTTGTCTATTTTCATGTCTGCTGGTACAAAATTAAAAAGGACTGGGTAACGGGTCTGTGTCGTGATGAAGTCCTTGTGAGCTAGGGTAGTCCACCGGTGTTTGTTTTCAAGAAGCCAGTTTTTCATGTAGCGGTTTTCCATATTCATTAAGACGTCGCCTGATTTCAGTATTGCTGCACCAATGATTTTGACCGTTGTAGAACTTATAACCCAACAAGGGTTATACAGAGCTGGAAGAGGATAATCCACTAATAAAATGACTAGTCTTTGAACGGAGTCTTATCCGGGACTTTGTGAATGATGAGTGTTGATGTCTTGAACTGATTGATTTCTGCGTTTTTTGGAGGAGCTTTCGGGGCCTTCGTCATGATCGATGGGGGGTTCTTCCATACACTCGGTTTGGGTGGTAGCGGTATAGGTTGTCGTCCAGGTAGCGATTTGGCCTCTTTCAATCTATCTTCGAGTGATGCGATTTGGTCCTTAAGGGTCCTGATCGTCTCCATGAACATAGTCATCATCGTTATGACACTCTGAAGTAGTCCGTCAGTCGTCGATCTTTCCGTCATTGTCGAGAGGATGTCGTTCATGGTCGTGTCCATCTCGTTCCTTCTTTCGGCTTGGTTTCGAAGGTTAGGGTTGGGATTTTTTTCCCCTTCTTTGTCTGGGGGGCGTTTGGGAGGCATGGGGGCAGGGAAAGCTGATACGATTTGGGGTGGGTGGTGGTGGGAGTAACGCGATGAAGTTGGATGCTTGATTTGCGTAACACTGAACAGGATACAGTGCCCATGTCAGCTTGTGGCACTTCAGGAGCTGATACAGCCGTTCCAACAATTAACGGCAGAAATCTTCATTGGTGTGTTGCATCCGAATTTAATCCAAAAGTCAAAAACTAGTTCAAGCCGGCTCAAAGTGACAGGTCTCCCAGGCCTCCTTGTTCATTTGCATGCAAAACTGGGGTTAATCCAGTTTTGACATCTCTAGATTTAACCTCGAGAGCGACACACGATCAAAGAATTCTGCCGTTAATTGTTGGAACGGCTGTAAATCAAGACAGATATTCAATAAGACACAATTTCATCTCCTATCAATCTCTTTGGCTTCAAAGTGTAGCTAGTCTGTAAAACATGACAAATCATGTAAAATTATGGGACTTTGTGTTATGCCAAGACTTTGTGAGACTGATAAGTACTTGAACATATTGAGAAAACTTGGTTTTGCGCTTGGCAAGTTTTTTTTATCAATGTTGTCTCTGTGAACGTATCTCAATGTGGTTTAGAAGATCTTCTCATGGTAAGAAAAACTTGCCTAGTGCCAAAGTGATTCAAGAGTGATCCTTCAAGGTGGAATCCCGCAAATAGCAAGTGATCTGGAATAAATTTAATTACCAGGGGTTTTTCATTTTTGGAAGGCTTATTTGATCTGGAGTACCTTGTGTTTTTCTGAGATTCTCCGTGAATTGGATGTACCTTGATAAATTTTTGAAGGACATCTTACACTAGATTCACCTTGCAGTCCTAGGATCTGTGATCCTGGCCTTGAGGCTTCCCTGTCTTTCACTAACACCAATCTCAAGCCACTACAAGCAATGGGCTCAGCTTTGCATTTCCTATCAAAACAGTTTTGGTAAGTAATAATCCTCAATTTCCAAAGAGAATAAGAATACATTCCCTCTGAAATTGAATGTACAGTCAATTTACAAAAGCCTGACCAACTTTGCCAGCACGACTCGAGCAAAACAAGCTTTTCTGAAATGACTGTATATCACACACTGGCGCCCATGCTGACCCAGATGAAAAAAGGCCAAAAAGTGCCTTTTTGTTGATAGGTTTGAGTAGCTGGGGTCCCACATTTAATGCTCATTTCAACATTCCAAAACACAATGAGACAAAATGCAGTACGTAGTGATCTTGTAAAGAAACATTTGCATTTGCACAGATGCTGCAGGATGCTACAACGATGTTACATTTGAGATAGAAACAATCTTACAAATGATGGACTCCTGGCGTCTAAAGTGAATCCTCGAGAACAAAACTTGAACACAAAGACTATCAATAAAAAAAACTATTACAACTTTGCTGGACGATGAAGAAAATCAGATGAAACACATAGATGCTATTGAAATGAAAAATGCAAATGCAAAAAGTTTTATGCAAAGAAAACGCAATCTACATCTTTCCAGATTTGAAACGACTACTACTCATGATTTTGAATGGTTTGTTGGTAAGCCCATGTTCTTGCCGCATCTTGTACCAATGGCATCACGACCTTTCGACCGACCTGTAGTCCTCTCCAGGCCATTCTTCTTGGTAACATGCTTTTGCCGTCCGGACGATGCCATGGTACAAGGCCTTCGAGTCCGCTCTCTGCAGCCGCGCACAGAGTTTTGAATAAATCGGTTGCTGCACTTGAATTCAACCGCTTGCCCCATCCGTGTGCAACCACGATCACCAGCTCTCGCTCTTGATCGCCGAGCTCATGTTCTTTGATGTCTGTGGGGCTGAATTTAGTAAGAATTACCGACACGTCGGCACCAATTTCAGATGTAAAGGCACGCTGAATCGCGAACCACTCAGGGATAGTAGCTTCTGGAGTGCGGTTGATTTGAGTAACGAGTGAATAAGGGATGGAGGCAAAGCCAAGTGTGAGGATCGGATAATCACTGGACTTGGTACGTAATCTGAAGGGATCAAGCGAATCTGAACATGAATCAGCCAAGATAGGATAGTAAATAAGCGCAGCTGGAAATTTAATCTTACGCATTTGCTTTCCAGTCTCGTCGAAGGAGGTCCCTCAGGTCAAGGGGTTTCAACTGACTTCTTGCTTCTGCCATCTCAGCTTGAAGTTCTCCCATCATTTGCTGTAGTGCCTTTCTTTCACGTTTGTTCCCAAATTTCAAATCTGGGCTCACAGCATCGAGCCGATCTTGATAGGTAGAAGTACGCCTGAAGAGTCGAAGAGCGGAACGAAGATCAACGTCATATGTTTTGCTAGACTTCAGTCCCCCACTGTCGAGCGCTATGGCACGCAAGAGCAAGAAAAGAAGTTCGTCCGGAAAGTGATGACTTCGTTTTCCAAACTCCCGATGCTTTCCCTCTTCATTCGCATCTAGGATGAGTTTGGACACTAATGACGAGCAAGAGGCGGAGGTAGTTATAACACGCGGAACGGCAGTCAAGTTGGTCTTCATATCGACATGATGGTCGATGATTGAGACGACTGGTGCGTGGCGCCAGCCCGGGTCAGGGAAGTTGTGATCGACTAAGACAATCCCACCAATATGTCGGGAAAGTTCAAAGGGTTTGATCGGCAATTCGTCGATAGCTGCCAAAAGTGTTGTTAAGCATCAGTGTTTGCGTTTCACAACATATAGTCACTAGACATGAGGCATCTTGACGAGAATGGCTTACTAAGCAAATCGCGATGACGAGGAGACATCCGAGAACGCTCAAGAGCTAACTGGTTCTCTGGCCTCAAATCAAGTGCATCCTCAACTGTTTGTAGCAACGAGATTGCCTTTTGAGGGTGCTTTTTAAGGTGGGTGAGATGATATGCCCAACCGATCGCCCCGGCCATTGAGTCAGTATCTGAATGCGATGAAGATTCAACATCAGGTTCAGCAGCAATACAGATTCTTGAGAGATTGATAGACTTACCTCCAGCTTCATTACCCATAACGATTACCCATTCATTTGCACGTCCATCAGATATCTCTGCCAAGAATTGGCTTTTGATTGATCTAGACCATTCAGAAAGATTACAAACGGTCTCGCCGGTGGGATTAATGTCAGGAGGAGTGGACCATTGAGGATTGCCAAGAAGGGTGAGCTGATCTGGGGGAAGGCCGGAAGATGAAACCTGGAATGATAATTGCGAGAGAAGACTCAAGATGAGTGCGAGATTGAGAGGTGCCATGAGTGAGGTTAGGGATGGAAAGTCGAAGGAATCTGAAGAGTTTGTCAAGTTGAAGTTAACATCTAAAGACTCTGACTTTGCCCTGACTTGTAGACCTGAACTGAAGTTGATGGAAATGAAAAATTGAAGAATTTGAGAAAGCAATACCCGTGTTAGCGGACCTCGGGGAATTCACAACTTCCATAACAACTGATCAGTTCTTTTGATGAAGTACGTAAAACTCAATCAACCTGTGATCCAATGACCAAATTCTGATCCTGAGAATCATCTTAGACTGACCAACAAGCAAAGGAAAGACTTCCCGTCCCACGAAGACAGATTCTTTGAAGGATTTGGTAAAAAAGGGTATTCTCTAGATTGGCGTTCGCGTCATGTTCAATGCATATGCCTTCCGAAATCCAAAGATACATGGAGAATTGAAACCAGGTAGCACACCATGATATCAATAATGATTTTTTTTGAAACCTAAACTCACATATGGACACGCTTTTTAGAGGGTAGTGGTGAGGTTGCATTTGCATTAAATTGTGTGGTGCAACATGACTTTTTCATAGCGGTCCCACATGGTGTACCGTGAACTCATGGACATGATAGAGTGTGCCAAGGAGCTTAAGAGGAGTGCTACACCGAAGCAAACGTCCTCAAAGATCTGAAGACAGTCAAGGCATGGAGTCGTGGTAATATACAAAGTATACTTACCATATGACTCTGGAGAGTAACCTGCGCTCACCTTCAACTATCCTCAGGAAAATATTGGGAGAGATAAGGAGGAGATTATCAAATGGGATTCCGGGTGAAGTTCCAATCAGTGATTCCTCTCACCTCCTGAGCCGACCCTAGAGAGTTTGTTGACACTCTGAACCACCTATCTGGTCAACAACTGACTTTGGTGATCGCGTTGGTGATCCAGCAAGAAAATGCGATAATAGGAGTCACTCAGCTCGGACTCCTCAGTCAACTATCAACCGAATCAAGAGGTCAAGCTTAACATCCAGTCGACTTTGAAGATAATGTCAAGGTTTTCACGCCCAATTCAAGCAACTGCGTGGAATCGATGCCGAGTTTGGTAGATTTGACCACAAACCTGAAGGCTTTAGTGCCAATTGCTTGCTCAAAACAAGGTCAAGTTTCGCAATATGGGAGTTTGATGCGATCCATGGGTCAGAAGTGTTATGTAGACGATTCAGCTTCCCCTTGCCCCATGCCGCAATCTCAGTCGAACATGACATTTGTCTCGCTCGTGCTGGCATGCTTTGCCAGCTGGGAAGCATTGCGACCTGTGAACCCCTACCACTTCGATCATAATTGCTAACAAGTACCTTGCTCAAGTTAGTTAGTCAAGCAATCAGCACCCTCTCAAAGCCTGCTACATCGCCATTCACACCGTTTGAACCCATCTGATCAGAATGAAAACCAGAGCATGGACATATTCAAATACTGAGTTGAGGAACGCGCCACAACAGAACGAGTCTCTCCTGAGAATCAGGTGCCTTATAAGCACTGCATGTTTGGGATCGACTTTATCATTATCGGTTTGCGCGCAAGGCTCTTGTTTAAATATACTTCTTCATACGCAAAACCATCGTTGTAGATTTAGTGATCAACACTGAAAAATGGAGGAGCACCTGAATTTCTTCAAGGAAGCAGTTTTGCTTCTCATTTTCCTCAGATTGGCAGCCTTAATTTACAAATAGTAAGTTGTAGAGCAAGTAAAAACACAACCTACTCTCTCTCATCTCTTTTGTTTCTCCCATTTATGTCATTCTTGGTTTCCAGTAGAAATCGTGGTAAGTGAAATTTCAGGAATATTGCAATCGGGTGTTCAGTACTGATAGCCAGTTTATGGCCTCTACCTGCAGCGATTGGAACAAGCGAAAGGAAGGACGTCTATCAAGATCTGCCTGGTTGGCCATTGTGAGTGATATCAGTTCGACTCAACCTTGAATGTTATGTCGACGATCATACTTCCTTGTTCCGCTACGCATTGAAGATTGGGACAAGTAAGTCATTTATGTTCTCACTCTCTCTGCGCTATAAAGTTACTTGGAGATGTTTGAAGCTGAAGTTCATGCGAGGATTTCCAAAACACACTTTGAAAGCTACCAGAGGTTATATTGAACAGCCGCAGCTTGCTTGAATGGAATTCTAGGAAGGAGAGAACATATGGTCTCGGGTTTTCTGTTGGTTCAACTCTATCGCAAGATTATTAGCTACCGTCATTGAGCACTTTTTCACTTTTCCAGGTGACCTTGCCAGGTATGAGGCTTATAGAAATCAGTCGCCCAGACTGGATCGAGCATGTTCAGAAAAGTCAGTTTTCAAACTCATGCTGCACTAGAACATGAATTTCTGAATTGAATCTATGTCCAATTACGCTTAGCCAATTTTCAAAACTATGTCAAAGTAAGTAAATGCTACCAATTTCATAGAGAAAAAGGTAAAGATTTCTTTTCATATTGATCTCATACTTGCCAATATTTTGCGCTCCTCAGGGCAATTTCTTCCGGGAGGTCATGTCAGACGTATTTGGTCAGGGTATCTTTGTGGCTGACGGTGCAAAATGGAAGTCCACTCGGCAGGTCACAGCACGAATCTTGAATGCCCACAACTTCAGGGTGAGTACTCCAAAATGATTGTCCAATAGTCTGGTAGGCGTGGTTTGTATGACTGTAGCCAAGTTGGTTCTTCATTTAGACAATCGTGGCACCGGCGATACATGACACTCTACGAGCTTTCAACGATCTATTGGAAGTGAAAGCAAATGAGGGCTCAATCGTGGAGCTAGATGACTTTTTTCATCGCTTTACCTTAGAGGCTTTCATCCAAATGACGTGAATCACTCTTTACTTCAACTTCCTCTTTCTATGTATATCTACTGATCAATGAATTTCCACCACGACAGTTTTGGACGCGGGATAGGCTGTCTAGAGCAGGCCAAGACCGGGCAGGAGCTCGATCCCTTTTCACATGCATTCGACTTTGTTCAGAGACAACTTGACCTTCGGTTCATCCTTACTGCCTTCTCAACGCATCTTGGAAGGTTATTTGGAAAAAACCCAAGGATGACTGCCTCTCGAAACATTCTTGATACATATATCTACGAGCTTATTGACGCTCGGTCAACACCTGAGACTCGAGCCGAGACTCCTCGAGATTTGTTGGGACTCTTCATGGAATTTAGTGATGAAAAAGGTGTCTCACTGAGCCGGGATGAATTGAAGGATTCGGCCTTGAACCTCATTATCGCTGGAAGGTGAGTGTTTCGTTCTAAGAGTACTCCAAGCGTATTGCATCTTCTTTGAAAAGTTGATCAACGTCGAATCACTTGCGAGCTCCGCCACATGAAGAGATACCACGGCTCAAGCACTTTCTTGGACATTTTTTCACCTTACAAAACGGCCGGAACTACTTGTCCCCATCAGGGAGGAGATTGCTCGCTTGATACCGAATGACGATGTCATGGTAGATTACGACAGCTACAAGCAATTTACCAATGTTCTCGCTGTCTTTTACGAAGCTCTACGGCTCCATCCCAGCGTACCTAAGGTGAGTGACCAAATCATGAACATTGCGCCATGCTTGGGCCCTTCACTATACCATGGATCGTGTTGAGACGCAGAAGAACCTCAGCGAAATCAATCTTGGTTTACTTCTTTCCAGAATGCCAAGTTTGCTCTCAATCACGACAAACTCCCAGATGGACCCCTCATTCAACCGGGCGATTGCTTACGCTGGAGGTCAGTGGATTTCCATAGTCTTATGCATGATCAACTCTATACAAAACATGAAGATCAAAACATCTGATTGGAGAAGTGATTGGCAAATGGCCCGAGATCCAAACATCTGGGGCCTTGACTGTGCTGAATTCAAGCCGTCTCGGTGGATAGACCCGGATGGAAAGTTGAAACAATATGGTCAATGGAAATTCCATGCTTTCAATGTGGGTCTTTTTTGTCTGAGTTCGTCCTTTTCGGATTGCCCAGTGGACTCTGGACATCTCTGACGCTCTCTGCACGACTTGAAACCCAGGGTGGGCCAAGGATCTGCATTGGCATGCACTTGGGTACGATGGAAGCGGTGGGTGTCATAGTCGAGATTGCACGCAGATATGATCTACAATTTGCCCCAGGATGGTGAGTCGGTGTTGGGCTTTATCATGCATTGACCTTTCCGGCAAGCGGCTTACAATATTGTAAAATCTCACAGGCTATCAAGAGTGCCAAAGATCGAAAAAATCACACCTCAATGTACAGAACAGACGCCAAAGTATGGCTCTTCTCTGACTCTACCAATGGCTGAACGGATGGAGTTGATACTCACTACAAGAGACAAGGGCTCTGCTCAATGTATCGAGTCAACAGCAGAGTCATGTCACAAGGTCAATTAGCTCCGGTATGTGGATGGCAAAGGAAATGGGGCGAGGGTCCACTCTTGGGGGAAGCAGGATGCATAGTAATTGCCAAAGTGTAAAATAGACCGCATATCATATAGTGTGCTCCACAATGATGATCAAGTGGTACACAGAAAAGCATACACAACGTGTCTTCAAAGTCACAACCTCCCTCGTATATGATTAATATAATTGAATCGGAGAAAGAGTACATGGTTGTTTAGATCTTTGTGTCGTATGGGATAGGAACCAGAGTTTCGGGAGCGTTAGATTGTGTGGACACGGTCCGGGCTTCACGGGGAGCAGCTGGCTGACGCTTGACGACGATCGTCTCTGTTGAGGCAGAAGCAAACCGATAGGTCATCAGCGACTCAACGCTAGCAAACGAGAGATGGAAGTTTGCGGGTACATACCTCCTCGGGCCTTAGCTTCCGATTTGAGCTTTGCGTTCTCCTTCACTCGGTTCAAGAAATCGTCTCGGCACTTGGAGTGTTTGACGTGCTCGACTCGTAGATTCACTCGCTTCTCGAGATATCGGTTACCGACGACCTTGTAGACAATGACACCCACAGCACGGGGGGCTACGTTGTAAATAACACCCGTTCGACTATGAAAGCATGTATAAACATCAGTTGATAATGAAGCTTGACATGCAGGAATCGTGAATGAGGCGTACCCGTGGTAGTACTTGTGAGGCATACCCTTCTGTTGGGCACCGTTGGCTTTGATATCAACGATGTCACCAACACGGTATGTTCGGAGGTAGGTGGAGATTCGAATTTGACCTGCCTCCTTGAAGCCACGCTTGAACATGTCGCGAGTGCGACCTCGGTAACCGAATGAGTGAGGCATGACGTTGGACTTTCAGGGGGACTATGAATGCAGAAGTTGAAGAAAGCGAGTTTAATTTCGAGATGAGTGAGTCAGATGAGGTTATGGGAAGTCTCTCCTACATGGTATGGTGATTCTGATGAGGAGGTCAATCCAATCGAGGTCAGCTCTTTGTCGTCTTTTTCACAATTTTCGATGATCTCGACTCACCTCGTCTTCTTGACCGCCCGGGACCGATTTGTACAGGTACTACAGCCCGGGTGTGAGAGCTGTGATGGCCAATGGGGGGGGTTGAAGTGATAGACTCAAGACTTAAACCTAACAACTGCGCACTTCAACCGCTTCGGCTCAACCTAACACAACTCACACGAAACCAACCCCCGTTACCCTTCGATTTCGCCCAGCGCCTCAAGCGAACGCAAACCACCCGTGAAGGTCATCTCAAGAACTCGGCAGACCCAACGGTCCACGCTTCAACGTCACCATGCCTCTCGTACGTCGTCACCTTCGCCAGCAGCGCCTTCTTCCGCCCTTCCCGTCTTGTCCGTTGACCCCCGACTTTCGATCATGCTCAGACTGATAGCATGAAATGATTTGTTATCCATAGGCCCCTCGTAATCACAACAAAACTTACAAGGTTCCTCGACGACCATACGAGGCTCCCCGTCTTGACGCCGAGCTTAAGCTCGCTGGTTAGCCTCGGTTTCTCATTTCTCACTGGGATAGGTGTATTCCCCTTCGGAGCTAATGCAAATCCTTTCCAATGCTTAGGTGAATTTGGTTTGAGGAACAAGCGTGAAATCTGGCGAATTGCTTTGACCCTTTCCAAGATCCGTCGTGCTGCTCGTGAACTCTTGAAACTTGAAGACAAGGACCCCAAGAGGCTGTTCGAAGGAAACGCTTTGATCCGTCGATTAGTCCGAATTGGTGTGTTGGATGAAGCCAGGATGAGATGGATTACGTGTTGGCCTTGAACGTTTGTACTCGATATTCCTGTGTACCCTCTTCCACACTACACGGATGGGTTCTGATCATCTATGCTCAATCCATCACTTTGCACTTCATCAGATCGAGGACTTCATGGAACGCCGTCTCCAAACCCAGCTTTTCAAGTCTGGATTGGCCAAATCCATCCATCACGCTCGAGTCCTCATCCGTCAACGTCACATCCGTGTCGGTAAACAGATTGTCAACGTTCCCTCTTTTGTTGTACGACTCGACAGTCAAAAACACATTGACTTTGCCCTCACCAGTCCTTACGGTGGATCAAGAGCTGGACGTGTCAAGAGGAAACGGGCAAAGAAGGCTGATGCTGGTGAAGAGGCCGGTGAAGAAGATGAGGAATAGACATGTTACTCAATTTCACTTGCAAAATGACCATCACCTTTTTGCTCAACTTGCCCTGTTCGTCTTTGGCCGCCCTTTGCACGCGATTCCCAAACGCAATATTTCCTATTGTTTAAATCTAAGCGTATTTCTATGTCCTTTGTCCCCAATTTACATGCTATGGTACAATCTCATCATGACCAACAAAAACCCAGCCACAACAGGCTTGATTTCTTTTTCCATACTTCCCCCTGCCCTCGAACAATTGAGTCGTGCCCATCGGGCAGTTTTTTCATGTTTTGATATGAGCCAAACACTAGCACACACGACATGTTTTTGCGAATTGCCCGCGCTAGTCATGCGTATCTGAGTACTCAGTTGCAAGATCCAACCTGGCGGGACCCCATGACACATGTTGCCTGTCCCTTTTTAGGTGTACAGTTTTAAATATGCTTTCGTATATCAGATAGATCTTTACTGCCGTAAATTGTTTTGGGAACACTTGCAGTATTTCAGAGATTGATCAATGTAGTTCACAGTTTCTGTAACCTGCTCAAGGGATCACTACCATGAAGACTTTATTGGCACTTGAATGAGGCATAGTATCTTTGACTTATGAGGACCAATGATGCAGCTCTCTTGGATGGGTTATGAAAAGGATCCACAGCTGTTTTTCAATGTGTTGGTTATCACAATGAAGCATGTGGAAGGAAATATTCTGGTGTCGGAAAACACTGATTGTGACATGATTTGGGTGTACTGTTGATCTTCAAGAAGCTTGTCAAGATTTCAACCAGTTTTCCATAAACTCAAGTCAAATTGTCATCAAAACTATGGCAAGCATTGTGAAAGCAACAGTCCTTTTCTAAAATCATGTGAAAGAAGGTTACAAAAAAAATTGAAGAGATCAATTGAATTATTTCCTCCTTCTTGACAGATTTTACTACCATCCACTTGGGATAGACGCACTGCTTTACACTTCATGCATTCATCCAAACTTGATTTTGTAACTAGTGCGCAGACCAGAGTGGTGCTTGTCCCATTTCCCCAACACCCTCACATTTTTACAACATATGGAAGTTCTCTATTTGTGGCTTTATCTGCCTGTGGCTTTGAAAAGTTGTTTCTGCCCACGAGTATCCATTACACAGATATGTGTCATGTGGAATTTAGGACTGCCTCAGGTCAAATTTATAATTTCTCAAAAAAAACAAGTTTATCAATCACCAAGTATTTAATGAACCTTGGAAAGTATCATGTCTGAACTTGGATACCCCAGTATATCACTGATCACGTTGATTATTTACAAAGATAACAATCAAAAAAACATTGAAGAAATCTGCAAACTCAAAACCCCAAACATTATATCACATACACCAAAAAAAAACCATCTAGATACATACATCATAATACAAGAAGACATCTTATTGATCAAAATACAATTCAAAATCAAAACTTAATATCCTTCATCAAGTTCCATAAATTTAATATAACTTTCACATATCTTTTCTAATTTCATTTCTTTTGCCTTTTTAAATTCATATCTTACATTCGATTGATTAATATTCTTCATAAGATATTCTTGAGCTAAACCATTTAATTCATTTATTTTCAATTCTATAGGTTTTTAAGAAACAAACAAACAAAAAAAATACAAAGATTCATTCATCTCCATTCCATCATCAAAAGAAACTAATCAGAAAGACTAACCATTGGAAAGTTTGTATAACTTTCTTGCATCACAGCACGCTTGTCCATTCAAACGTGAGTGAAGATAACTTCGATAATCAGGGGGAAAGCTTCCTAGACCGACCGTGGAGATTAACAATGCTTTTTGACACTCAAACTTGGACCGCAGAGGCGCAAAGTTCACCGTTCTACAAACCACAAGGGATCAGGTTCAAGATTTTTACGTCTTCTATCGAAGTTACACACAAGTACCGCTGAGAACATGATTATGGCACTTACCGGTGCTCCAGATAGTCCGCCAGGGCTTTATACGTGGAGTATCTGTATTTACAACCACAATGTGAGTGGAAATACAGAGATTTAGTGATCAGATACAGCAGAAACACTTACGCAGCGTCATTAATTACAATCATCCTTTGAATCTCTCGATTATTTGTCTGTCCAAATTCATCCAAGGGCGTCACATCACTAATTGTACTTGTAATGAGACCTGAGACTAAAACATACCATTTCATATCCTTCATTATCCTCACAAAAAGACTCGATATCTTCCTCTTCATCCCATTCCTCTGATCTCAATAAAAAAGCTCTGAGCCCTTTCCAGATTCTAAGATGTATTTCAAACCTACTCGAATCCTACCAAGAGTAGTCATCATCCAGATCTTTTTAACTAACATCAGATCTTGATCTTTCGGATTCATTATATTCTCCACCAGCGTAATTAATTCCTCAAGGATCAGTTCAACCCCTGATCCGATCAACTTAAACAAGCCTATCAACACCCGTGTCATACTCGGCATCAGATATTCCTGGGTAAACCGAAAGATTCGACCAATGGTGGGGAATCGAGCGAGAAGAGCTTCTGCTCGGCAGTTGACCCTGTTCATCCATGGTCCTATCAACGAGCCAAACATTTCTGTAATCGTTATGACTAGGGCGCGAAATGGAGGATAGCGGCTTGGGATCTCTGACTCAGCTGCACTGCCTTCAAGCACTGTAGAGAGACAAAAAATCAGCTCGAGCAGTTATGACGGGTTGGCAGATGTTTCTCAGTCCCATTCTACTTACATTTTTTGAAATGTTCGATGCCTTGCAATAGCTCAAGCTTGATATAAACTTTCTTGGGTGATCTTCCAGTCCTATTTGGAAATACAAAAGCAACTATATCCGTACTACTCTGAACATCTACTGGATTGACCGATTCAGCTTGATCTTCGGTAGGGGCAGCGGGTGTGGTATCGGGTTCGAGAGTTGGCGAAGATTCGGATTGTAAGACTGGAATCTCTTCAGTCACCGCAATAGGTTCAGATGCTACATCTGGGCTAAGCTCCGGCGATGGAGTCTCTACGGGAGGAGATGCTGTAATTTCTGGGGTGACCGAGGTGTCGGCTAACACCTCGGTGGGAATGTCATTGCTTTTCTGCAAGGACGGCGTGAAGGGCGGCGATGCAGGGGCGGGGACGGCAGGCTTGTCAATAGAGGGATTGGAGTTTGGAGGCGTGCTCGAAGGTATGCTCTTTACAGGAGGCTTGGGAATGCTGAAATGTTCGGTGAATGATCAGGTCTTCTGAGTGATTAATAAACTAGTGGATTTTTGTACGCACGGCGAATGCACTGCTATTTGAGGAGTTTTCGGGGGTAAGGGAGGCGCTTGATCAATGGTCTTGGATGGTGTTTGTGGTGGTGTTGGCTGTGCAGTGGAGTTCACTGCCGAGACTACAGGAGTGAGTGGCAAGGGACGCCGAGTTTGAGATTTGGTTGAATGAAGTGCGGGATGGGGAATAGTAGTTGGGTTCGAGTCTGCTGTAGTGAGATTGGTGAGTTGAGTAGATGGGTCGAGTTTTCGAAGTGAAACTTTCATCACGAGGGAATCCTTGACAGTGCAAAGAATGATTATAACCGAGCTGAAATAGACTGAAGTGATCAAGATCTAGAACACTAACCTCAACATCTTCAAAAGCCTTGAGAACCTCAGAGACCTTTCCGATTCGTACATGCCAACCTTTTCGACATCGATCGCTAGCCTTTGACGCCGAATCTGTGAGGAAAGTTTGAGATCCATTTAAAAAGCGTCCGGGTGATTCAGTGGTACCAACCTGATGGAAAAGGCAAAGTTCAATTTCCAAGTCTGTTGTTGATTGATTCTAAGATAGAGATGTGTACGTACCGTACCGCCCCAAACTAGTCTTCGAGGAACTTCAGAGAGAGTGTCATCAAAACGGAACCCCAAGCCTTCTTCTCCATCGTCCTCGAGTCGAGCAAGAAATGTGATCTAAAGTTGAGAACCCCATCATTTAGTGTCTCGATCATTCTTCAAGATCGATCAATCAAAGTCTGATGACACTTACTCTATAAAGTGTCCCTAGTGGAGGTGATTCCCAAATGAAGATTGGTAATTTAGATTGATGACCGACTGATCGAACCATCTTTGATCTTGCTTTGAGACGATCCATGAGTCCTTTTGTGAAACATTGTTTCTGTGAATGAGATTGAGACCATTTCGATTGAGTTCTTGATCTGGCTTAGATTTCAATTCATAACCATGTACCTTTTCGGTTGTTGTTGTTGTCGTGGTGGTAGTTGAGGTGTTGGTCATTTCCAGTTCTTTGCTTGATCCAATCCTACTTCTGGGTATATGAGGAAGTGTTTTCTTGTTGATCAAATGTCTTTGAGTTTGTTTACCATCTTCGACGCGCCTGAATTTCCAATTCCCAATCGATTGGCTATTTCAACGCGTGATACAGAATACCTCTTTAAAAGCATTTCACATGTTTATCCTCCTGATACATGCTTATAAGCTGAGCCTCGCCGGTTAAATCTTCAGCCTGGTGATCACATGATCTTGTCAATTATTCAAGGCTCTCGAGTCTCACTCTCGAGTCTCTGCTCAAATAAAAAGACCTTTGAGAATACTGATGCTTTGCCTGTCACATCATCTGAGATCTCAAGAGGACAAGTGCTTTATCAAGTCTCATTCAACATGAGGTGCAACAACTGCAACAGCAGAATTTCTTTTTTATATAATTGAAAATCAATGTCACAACCACCAAGAGTTCTGATTCTTAACATTCTTCTTTGCTGGATAACCTGAAATTTTGAGGAACAAGTTCAACTTGCTTCATCATCATCCTTTCTTGGTCATCAAGACTCAATAGTTTTCCATATATCATGTACCAGTTTCAATCCTTCAAGCTTCTGAAAAGGGATGTATGTGTGATGAAATCCATTACACCCATGGCCTGCTCAACATTGTGCCACATTTTAGTCAACAATTTCGCCCCCTGAGACTGAGTGAGCTGACTTATAATGTTGGTGTAAAGTTCTTTCATCGCAATTCAACATGCTGAACATCACAAGTGTATAAAACAGATACATATCAATCCCCAAGATTTTCTTAAAAAAGATCATCAATTTTACACAAACTTTTAAATACACAAACCAAAAATACATAATCCAATCTAAATAAATTTTGTTAATAAATGATCAAGACTATAAATTCAATAAGAGGAGGAAGAGGAAGAGGAAGAGGAAATCAATCTGTCCATCTAGGTTCAAAAGGAATCAAAGTGTCTCTTAAATCTAATTGGTTTTGAATTTGAATTTCTTGATGTTTAGATAATCTAGATGCTTCTGATCCATCTGCTCGATTAGCCCAAAGTGATTTAACCAAGATAACTGATTTTAAATTATCTATTGCTCCAAATAGAATCGAAGCATGATGTTCAAAATTAGGAGAAATCGATCTAGAATGATCTATGATGACTAATTCACCATCTTCTTCGGCTTCTAATTCCATCGGTCCTGGATTATCTACATGATTAAATGCAAATGATCTTAGTCGAGTAAATCGACTTAGTCTGGCTGCATAATGTGCCTATACGTGGAAAATGATCCGATGCAAAAATGTTAGTGATAGACGCGGAACAGAAAAAGAAGTCAAAAACAAACCAAGTTTCCTGGCCATCGCTTCCCCTCGTAACCATCCACCATGACTAATAACCGCTCCAGTCCTGGTCCTATACCAGCTCGTCCGATAGCGTCAAACAGATCAGGATTCATATCTCTTCCTACCACACAACTGATAGCAAGAGATTTCAATCCTTCATATCCTTCTACTGCCGAAAGGACTTTATCGACTAGCCTAGCAGTAAAGCGAGCTTCTAGATCAAGTTCCTCAATCACAAACTTACCACCTTCTAATCTATATGTCTAGCGAAAAACAAAAACAAAAACAAAAACTTTGTTTGTTAGTCATCAGATCTCAATGATTGATCATCATTTTAAAATCACATACTCTGATCAGATCACAAAGTCGAGCAAGGATCTTAGGATGATCTCTAAATCCATCCAAGTTCAAATACCTAAGATTAGGTAAGATCACTTCTGGAATAAACCAATTCAAATCTCTAATCTGATGTACTGGCATCCAAACACAAAGATGTAAAAGTTTTTCAGTTTGAGTGACGATGGGTAACCAATGAGGAGAACATTCTTGAATTTTTAATGCTTTTAAACGTTTTAAACATGGAAATTCTTCTGGATTGATTTCGTCATAAAAGGTAATATAACTTAATGCTAGAGCTTCGAGTGTTGGTAATGGATGACGTAGAAAACAGATCACGGTTGAAGTTGGAAGACTACTTAGGCATAGAGATCTTAACTTTGGAGTAGCATTGAAGAGTTGATGACTGATCTCGAGAGCATAAGTAGGCAGAGGATGTGATAACCTCATCCGAGTAGTACCATTATAGAAGATAGTTGTCACATGACGAAGCGTTGAAGCACGAAGCAGGAGATGGTTTTGAGTGATATCGAGTAAAGATCGAATATCATCTCTATCCGATGGAACTGAAAAACCAAGACGACTTGGACCACTTGAGATAACCAGTCGACGTAAGTAAAAAGGACAACATAGATCATGAAGTGAATGACAAGTTAAAGCCAAGTTGATGAGGGTTGACCAATTGATAGGTTTAGGACCTTCTTCTTCGATCTCATCTTCATCTGATTCTGGTACTGGTACTGGATGAGATTGATCGATTGAGATTTGAACGATGATATGAATTAAATGAATTTGAACTTCGATTGGTAAATCAAGTAAACGAAATGTTTGAAGACCGTCATCCATTTTATTATCTTGAGAACGTGAACTGGTGGTAATCAAGTCAGGATGGAAGTCTCAAATCAAACTTTTGGCTAAGAAATTTAGAAAAACCCGAAACTCAAACAGACCCAAACATTGAGCCCCAAAAATAGTTCAAGATAGGCTTACATAAGATTTTAAACTTTGATATCATTTCACAGTTCAAACAAAGGCATCAATCACACAAACATCAACCAAAAAGAAAATAAGAAAACGAAGAAATCTCAAAATAAGAAAAACAATCTTTTTTGATAGACAAGAGATAATCCAATTTGAGTTCACAAACTCAGGTATCCATTTGGCAAAAAAACATATACGACGGCTGATACTTGATCACTCAACAATCCATTCTTCTGCCCTTCTTCATTGAAGTATTATAAACTCTACAAGTTCAACTCAATTTCATCCATTAATTGTCTTTGGAATTGGATTTTTCAAAATAAGAAAAAAATCGTAATTTGATTTCATATAAGATACTTGACTTTCTATCATACATTTTTCATCATCATCATCAAGACCCATGAACCAAACCACTTAATCCAACCACAAACCAATCCAAAACCAAAGGTAAAACGATCACTAACCAAAAGCCTAAGAACCAATTCCCTAAACACTGATCATTAAACATTAAACTTTTCAAATCGATGAATCCGATCCAAAGAAATCCAAAGCCGATCAACCAAACCAAACTGATTCCTCTACTCAATCTAACCGATCTTTTTCGTAAGATTATTGGAATTAATCCTAATGATGGTCCAAATAAAATTCCAAGTCCTACTCCAAGTGCGAAATTTAAAACTGATACTACTGAAATTAAACAACCTACAAGAAGTAAGATCATAGACTCTAACATCTTAATCGATTTAATCGATCTACTATCCAATGTTACTATTGCAATCGGTAGACTTATCCATAGTCCAACCACGAGCCAGAGTTTGGGTGACTATTTCAGTAGGTTTAGCAAACTTCCTTATCAGTCTCTCAACTCATTAGAATATGAAATATTTGGGCAAAGGAAAAAGACGGACCTCATACACCTTTGTTGGCTCTACTGATCTAACTAGTCTCCAAAAACACCCAGCTCCAATCAAATGAGAAACCGTAATGATCTTAATACACCAAACCAGACTTCCCTCTTGCTTATCATTTTTTCCCATAACCTCATCAACCGATCCGATCTTCTTTTCAATCTTCTCTTCTTCTTTAATCTCTTCTTTCTTCTGATCTTTAAAATCTAATTCTCCCCATAAACTAAATGATAACAAAGTGATTCCAATCCCCATCAAAACCGGTACAAACAAATAATTTCCAACACTCACAAATCGTTTTTCTCCCATCATCAAATAAAGAAAAAACGATTGATGAAACCTTTCGAGTAAATTATTTAAACTACGTAAAGTAGATTCCAAAACTTTTCCAATCGTATGAAACCCATGTGGTCCTTCAGCTGGTACGGCAAACAAGCCAATCGAATCTATTCTATAGGGTGTGAAAAGTCCTTCTGGACCTGATGGCGAGCCTAAGAGTCCGTATTGGATTTGTCGAAGAATGGTTTGAGAAGCAAGGATGTAATCGTTTATAAATTTCGATCGTCTGTTGCTTGTTGATAATTGGTCAACTCCATCATGGATTGTTACGGGACATGAGCCCGTCCAACGGATGATGTTTGAAGCTGTGTTGATAAGATCTAGATTCGGAAGTTGTCCGTTGATACCCTCTGCATATTGAGATAACTTGGGTCAGCAGCAGAACAAAATATCCTACAAAAGAGCAAGATGAATAGACATACCGTAAAAGATTCCAATGTGACTGAATGAATGGAACGGGTAATCAATCGATAACGCTGCCCAAATTGGCCCCGAACGACCTTTCATCCGTTCTGTTTGGAGGTCTATGGAAACCAAACATCAGGAAACCCGTTTTTGAGAAGATTTGAAGAGAGCGGTCATAGAGACTAAACTGGATTGAGGCAGGTCGTGATAGGCTTGAAGCCAAGCTTGAGTTCCATGAAGGTGACCATCAGCAATTAGAAAGATGATATCTTTACTCCAAAGATTCATTGCTACAGATTTCCCATTCCTGTCAGTTATTCTGTGATTCAAGTATGAGAGATTTGAAAGACTCAACTGAGAAGGTAATCCGCAAGTGCTAGTACGCTAGCCACCCCTCGTACATTCACATCACCTCCTTTAACATCTGATCCGGGTTTACGAGTCAACCAAGAAGCCATGAGAACTATTGCCTCAGCTCCATCGGTACGTGGTGCGTGTAGGGTAGCATGAACATTGGTACCGTTGACGATCGAAGTTGAAGCATGAGGATGAGTAAACGAATAAGTTTGTGTTTGAGAAGGTAAACCCATGCTTTCGAAAGCTTGACGCATTTCTTCGGCTCGTCTATTGCGAAGAAAAAAAAAGGAATAAGGATAAGAAGTGAGATGAGCAAAGGTGAATGTACAAACTGTTTTGATGGTAGAGTACGCCAGAGGTCTACTTGATCAGCATATTTATCAGCTTTGTGAACCTGAGACCAACCCCAGTAAGTGTTAACCTGCAATCGATCGATCAAAGGTTTAGAGTCAGTCAATCAAGTACTTTAGTTCACCATGATGATGATGATTGAAATCAAGACGAACTTGACCAGGTTGAATAGCATTTTCAGATATATAAGTACCTCTTGATAGAAGATGAGTCGGTAAGATCAAAGCTGAGACGAAACCTGCGATGATGAGTAATAAACTATTTCAGTACGAGAAAGAAGAGTTAATGATCAGTTAAAAGATAAGATATATAGAAATCAGATTATGATACTAACGTGATGATAGGAGTAGCAGAAGTGATAAACTTGAAGATTTTCCTTCTACGTAAGACTCTAGTGATAAGTGATTTCAGTTCTGGATCGATTTCTTCTTCTTCTTTTTCTTCTTCTAGATTATCATCATTCTCACTATCATTCTGATTTGATTGATTGTTTTTGATTTGGTTGGATTGCTGAGTTCGATTGATGAGTTTTGAGTAAATTGACATTTTTCTTTAATCTCGATTGATAGCCTGCAATCGTATCAAACAACACCACATTTCACTTACACATACACCACTTCTCAACCCTCAACTCTCACACTGCTTTGGCAATCTCTCAATCTTCATATTCTTATATCATGGAATTGGATCTAACAATGAAAGACTTCACTAAAGCATCAACTGAGCTTATCAGCGGTATCTCAGTTTACTCTTAATCATCATCTGATCATCACATCTCAGTGAAAAGTTAAAACACTTCAATCAGCTTCAACTTTGGTCCATGATATATGATATATTCTATTATCATAAAACACTTTAGGGTATCTAATCATACATCCAATCATTCTAACAAGCTTCAAAGAGATTCTTCTTCAACTAAAAATCCAAAACAAAACCCATTGGATTCATTCACTATAGTCTCTTCTAACCTAGGTTGTTTAAGTTTTTCCCACATTGATCCTTCAGATTGACCATGATGATGATTCTTACGTTTGTTCTTGGTATTGATTCCTACTTGTTTTTCTTCAATTCGATTTAAACTTTCATTTAAAACTTCAGCAGAAATCAACTTAGGATTGGATCTTAATGCATTTATAAACTTTTCCAAAACTTCTTCCATTCTTTCTATCTTTCTAAATCCTGATAATTGATCTGATCTGGATTTCATAAACTTTAAAACTTCTACTAGTTCATGTTCAGAAACAAAGTTTTGAGTGATCGCAATCGATGGTTCTAAATTCACGACCACTACATAAAAAAGTCATCTTCAGCTCTTCTTTCATAGTAGAATTCAATATCAAGAAAAACTTACGATGCCACCAACCAGATGGTACGTAAAAGATTTCACCAGCTTCACAAATACCTTCGAGCATCTTTCCACGTTTGCTTGGATCTTGAGCTTTCGGACCGAATTCTTCTTTCGAAAGTTCATAGTAATTAATGAACCACTCTAGGAAAAAACAGTCATCATTCCTTAGCCAAGATTAGATCAGAATGGTCTTGTGAGATTCTTTTGACTCACCTGCAATAGAAAGTGGACTCTCTACTTCACTCTCGTCCTCACTCACACGGACTCCCGGTGGTGTACAATCAGGTGGGAAACATATCCACAGTTTCTTTCCTGAAATGACGGCATTCCATGCTGAAGTACCATTTGGATCTTTATGCCAAGTGGAACCTGAGCGAGTAGGACCAATAATCTGAAAATTGAAAATGATGATCAAATTCCAAACGAATCTTTTGTTTTGGATCTCAAAGGTTAAGGAACTCACAAGCCAACGAAAATCAGGACGTTGATCAGGTCCTAAAGATCCCAACAAATCATTTCCAAAGACCTCAGGTACATGATACTCTAGGCCTAAACTTTGAGTTTCTACAAATCCGCTAGTTTTTTCTACAAAATCAGCGTCAAAAAGATAAACTGGACTTTCTTCTGTTTGACATCTATGATGATAAAGTTGATAATTTGATAAACTGATCAAACTTGATTCTGCACGAAATTTGACATTTGGAAATCGAGCGGAGAGTGTATCTAATGTCCATTTTCTTGCTGACCACGTTTCCATTAAACCTAACAAGATTTGTGGAATCTTTCTTTCGATGATCGATTTTGAATCCACAGAAACTCGTTGGATTGTTGGACGAAATTTGTTAGATCGTTTTTTGATTCCGATTGCTGAACTTATATCATAAGTAGCAGCTAGTATAGGTTGAAAAAGTACATCTGAATAAACTTGATTGAGTTGAATTGGATCGGTTTCTAAATGAGATCTTCCCAGAAAAGTTGAACGCCAAGTTCCATTCCAATTTTCTAAAGTATCATGTTGACTAAGATAAGCTGATTTCCATAAACCATCTAAACCAACACACCAACCGAAAAAATAACGACTAACACCTTGAAGTAAGTGTAATGAGCTAGGATCTAATTCTGAAAAGATTTTTAAAATGATTTCATCTGATAAGATTGATAATGAACCTAATGAGTTGATCCGATGAATTGAAGTTTGGGTTGGATTGATGGATAATAATAGGTTTCCTAATGGTTGAATGTTTCTTGGGTTATGTTGAGAAGTAGGTTTCTTGGTGGGATGAGTCATGAAGGGATTTGATTGAGATGGATTTGATGGAACATTGGTTGATTGAATGCTGAAGGAAATGGTTCAGTTGAATTGTCAAAATATGTTCGAAACTGATTTCTTTGGTTTCATATTCAAAATTACATTACACACATCTTGCTTTCATCACGTGACCTATCTTGTAAAGTTGGAGCCTATAGGGCTGTAGCCCGGACCTGCAAGCTCAGGGCCGGCCTTGCGACCAGACCCGGACCTTATGTGACCCGATGGCTTCCAAAAACAGCTCGGCTCACTCAGGGCAGGGCCAGAAGTTGAGCCCAGAGGCTTGGCAGGGGAAATGGGTGATGATCAGCTGGCAGGTAAGTTGTATGTCACCTGTTTTTTCATTTGAACATTGTTTTTTGATAGGCTTAGTCACCAGAAAAGCAGTGGCGACCCGGTCGGGTCGGGCGCCCGAGACGCCCGCAGGGCCTTTCGGAGCATTGCCAGGCTAGGTCTCGTGGCCCCGGGCCCGGCCATGTGGACCATTAAGATGTGGTCGGGCAAAGCCGGTCGGTCAGGGTCGGGCCCGGGTCACAGCCATAGAGCCTATACTTTACATACAAGTTACACTTGTTGTGAATGGTATTACAAATGTCACATGTTGTAGTAGAGTACTTGTAGGACACATCATTGGTACTTGCATTGCTGTTTCTCTGATCAAACAATCTTAGTCATAGACTGGAACCAATAAAATCACTTGTCACTTCTGTTGACAAGAACCATTCCCCCCAGAGTCTGAACCATCACATAATGTCAGATTATCTCTTAAATGAAGTTCTTAATCTGGAGTCACTAATTGTATGCTCATGAAGTTTTTAAATTCTGTGGTGATTGATTAATCATTTATACTAGGGCCGTGAAGGCTTGCGCTGCCAACTATGACCATGTGATCCTGCCTCTTCAAATGCCAACTCAGACTCAGAATTGTCTGTCTGGATGCTGAGATGACATGGAGTAAGATGAAGCAACTTACACAAGCTGCATCAACACTTACATACACAATTGAATACTTGCATATAGTGCTTAGAGCATCCGCAATTGTTTGCGTCAAATTTGGAGTTAGTTAACCTGAAGTTAAAGATCTTTTGCCGGAGTTAAGTAATCTACCACAGAATCCCGCAGTCGTTGTCTTTAACTTGGAGTTAAAGAAGTATAAACTCCAAGTTAAAGACTGGGCCTACAGTGGTCAGCTCTAGCTTGGAGCTAAGCTGTCCTCAGTTTTCAAGCAACAACCCGATTTGTTGTGTTTAATTCATCCTCAACGATTTGTGATTTCACATAAAATGACTCGTTTTACATTCATCAGAGGCCCTTTTTGATCACTGTTTATCACATAATCGTTCTCTACACTCGCTCCTTTGTTTGGGTATCATCTATCAATGTGATCTTGATCTTTCATTCGGCGTAATCGTATGAGGCACGCAAGGAGATTGCTCTTGTCCATACTCACGGATGTCAAGAATACAGGCAGGAATTCTCGAAGCCTGTCCTCAACGGGTAATAGAATCCCAAAGAGGAACTTGTAAGACACCTAGGATTATGTAAGTTTCACTCCTTACATAAAGTATCAAGTAGGATTCTCAGCCGAAGAGAATTCCTGCGAAGGAGCGTTATAAGAAGGGAATAGCAGCGTACAATCATTGTCCCGCCTTTTTCCTTCGTGCGCTCTTTGATTTCTTGATTCTTAATTTCTTCTGAGACCAATTGTCATTGTCTCAACAGACTCAAATCTTGAGTTTTTAAATATACTTAAAACAATCGGATTAATAAAGGTTATAAAAGATTACCACAACACCGGTAGTAAACCAAAAACACAATCAAACAACCATAACCTCAGTCTGAGATCTGAATTTAAGTTTCAATAAACATAGTTTGTCCGAATTTGATACAATCGTTTCACTACTAAAATTTCTTTATCGTTTCAACTATCCTCTTTCACTTTTCCTACTTTCTACTATTCCGCTCCTATTCTATTCTTCCGCACCTAAATTCTCTAGTCCTTTCAACTACCATACTTCTTTCTAATTCATTCGTACAAGCACCTAGTGCACCAATACATTCACCACACCCAATACAATTACCCTAGTACCCCGGAAACTTTAAACTTTGGAAATATTCCCAAAGAAGCGTAACATCCTAGCTTGTAAGCAATGACGGATAAAGGTTCTTCATCGAGATCTCGCAAAACAAACGCTCCTAATAGCAAAGAGAATACCAATAATATCAACACAGCGAATATTATAGAAGCTGGTGAAAGTAGTCTGGTGAACAGTATATTAACCGGCGGCTTAAAGCCACAGAATAGTCAACAAAACGGTGAGCAGCCTTGTCTCAACCAGAAAACAAAGAGACTAATAAAGGGAAACTAAATGAAATGACCGTTCTCTGTTTAATGTCTGAATCACAGAAGAACCAAGCGTACTAAATACAAATCCATCATCGATAGATAAGTCAACTACAGATCAACAAGAACTCACGTCTGATCAACAAACAACCAACTCATCTAAGAGTCCGAGAAAGAACGGGCAAACGAACAGAGTAGATAGCCAAGTAAAGTCAACGACTCAATCAAAAGGGAAAGCTCCAGAAGTAGTTGGTGAAGACTATATCTCCATTCTGTCAGGGAAACCTTCCAATGTAACGAACAGTAAGTCGTTAAGGACGATAGTCATTGTGATGGCATAATTAAACTAACAGATATACAATTATAATATGTATAGCTCGAGAAATAGTCACTCAGAAGTCGAAAGCAGGTGAAGAAGAAACACCTACGTCAGTTGACCTAACTGAGGAGGTCGATTTAAATGACATGAACTCGGTTTGGCAACACGCCTTATCGCTGGCAGCCAAAGGATCTATCGATGAAGCGACTATGTACTTTAAGATCCACGCCACGTTATCCTCTAACTCAGCTAAGAAGGTCACCGAAGTAGATGATCATCAGAAGCGTACCTTACCCTATACAGATGCAGAAGTGGTAACAGAAGGTGGACTGATTTTCATTCCCGGAGCGATAACGTCTCACACCAATATTGGATTCACTCCATACTTCGATCGTAACTTACGAGAGCTAAAAGGTCCTATCCCCTTAATGATCTTTAACAAGCAATGGCAAGACCTAGCCAACGGGTACCACGTTGAGAAAAGAGTGAAAACCGACAATATCAATAAAGACACAACAACTTATACCGGATATCCATACCCTCATGAAATGACCCAATCCTACTCAACCTGGAACGTAAATTACCGAAACTTCGTAACCACCCTCAGAGACGTTTATAAATTTAAGTTATTCGCGTCCTGAGCGGAAGCTCATCAGGCAAACATAGAGTTCTATCATGCTAGAGATAACTGGATGACAGCCTTTCGGTATGACATCAAGATTTGGATGAACGCCTTTGCTTTCAGAGTCTCCGAAAATGGGAAATCCGCCCCACCAGACATATCTCGAAAATAGTCAACACAACGCTAGAGGCAGAAGTGGTTACAACGGGAAAAAATTTGACCCAAATTACGCTGCAAAGAAAGCCGCTCTAGTTGCTGCTAAACAAGCCGCTCAGAACAGTAACTCTGGGTAAGAGAATCCTTTCTGAATTTAATCCTAGCTCAATTTCACCTACATTCCTTTTCATTGTGAATATGGCAGTTTATAAAAATTCTTGTGATAAAGTTATACATTTTCTTGAAACTCCTTAAGAAAGGAACAGAAACATGTCAGCATAACGCTTAAATGTAACGCCCCTAAAACATGTCTTTGCCATCCGCTCGAAAGCCTCTTCATCTGTTACACTTGAATGAATTCTTACTGTACATGTTTTATATTCCTTTGTTCCATCTAACTCCGTAATGCAGAAACGTCAATTGTCACAGACTCAACTTGAAACAAAAGGACCATGAGATCCGAATGAGTGAGCGAACGACAGAGTCTTTACCTGTCGAGGACGAGACAAGGTCAAGCAATCAGAAAAGACCCTTGAGTCCAAATCAAGGTAGATTGATGACAACCTCACGGAACGAGAAACCAGAAAACTGGCCGACAACAGTTTGTTGTGAAATGAATATCCCAGCATGAGAAAAAGCTCTAAAAGACGCGAAGTTGTTACCTGAGTTTCAAGACGTCTTAGACGGATTTAGGATTGGTTTCGACCAGGGAATCCCAGATCACGTAATACGAGATAAAGGAACGAACAAAGTACTTCCGTTTTATACACCACCCAATCACTCATCAGCAAGATTGGCAGAAGATAAGATTAGACAGTCGATATTAAAAGAGGTGCAAGCGAAAAGACTTATAGGACCTTTCACCACGGAACAAATGTCAAAGATGTACCCATTTTTTCGGACAAGCCCCATGGGAGCCGTGATAAACGGTGATGGGTCTTTACGGCCCATCAATGACTTATCTTACCCTAAGAATAACCCAGACTTACCTTCTGTAAACTCGTTCGTGGACGCGAAGAAATTCAAAACCACGTGGGACGATTTCAAGATTGTGGCAGCCTTTTTTTGGTCTTCAAACGAGAAGTGGCTACTAGCCATTTTTGATTGGGAAAAGGCTTATTGCCAAATCCCCACGCTAATGTCACAATGGCCTTACCTGCTAGTTTTAGATTTGGACGGAAAAATTTACGTAGATACAAGGATAACATTCGGTGGTGTCGCCGGCTGTGGTTCATTTGGAAGGCCAGCGGATGCATGGAAGAAAATCATGATCGCCGAATTTGATCTATTTACTGTGTTTAGATGGGTTGACGATAACCTATTTGTCAAACGGCTAATGTCATCAGCAAATATGGACGACATTGTAAAAAGATCAAAGGAATTAGGTGTTCTGACGAATACAACAAAATGCTCGAATTTCGCACATGAACAGAAGTTCATTGGTTTTATCTGGAATGGGATCGAGAAGAGCGTACACCTACCAGAAGAGAAACTCAAGCAAAGGAAAGAACAGATTAGAGAATTCCTAACAGGGACAACCTTCTCATTCGACCAAGTAGAAGTAATTACAGGAAGACTGACACATGTATCATACGTTTTACCTCAACTGAAATGTTACTTAAATAGCTTACATCGGTGGAAAGCTGCTTGGGTTCACAAATTTGCGAAGCAAAAATTACCGGAAGACGTGAAAGAAGATTTAATTTTCTGGAAGGAAACACTAGACTCATTCAAAAATTACCGATTGATTCCACTATTAGACCCGATCGAGATCAGTTGGGTTGGAGACACATCTACGTCATTTGGGATAGCGGTACTGATTGGGGAGAAATGGTGCCAGTACAAGTTAAAGAAAGGTTGGGACACGCTAACACCAATTAAAAGAGGTATAGCATGGCTCGAAACAGTAGCTATTAGACTGGGAATTCTGATGCTAATTGAAATGAAGTGGCCAAGAGGACAACGCCTAAATGTGTGGACAGACAACACAACATGTGAGGACACATTACGGAAAAGAAAGTCGAGAGATAGAAGTGTAAACGAAGAATGGAAGGTAATTCAAAACCTACTGATAGTACACCAACTCGACATAAATCCTTTACGTGTCGTATCAGACGAAAACGACGCGGATGAACTGTCACGAGGATTGAAGACAGACCATAAGGAAAAGGATAGAATACAATTTTACCTTCCAGAGGACCTATCAATATTCATGGAAATAACTGAGTAAGTTTATCCTTGAAAAGATACCAGAGAACAGTAAAAGGATACTGATAAAACCTCTTATTGCAATGGTACATTCATAACATGAAAACTTGACGCTGACAGAACCAAAGTGAATTCAGTGACAACGGAGTTGGAACAATCCACTACTAAAGGTTAATAACAAGGAAGGCGAATAGAAACAGATAACTCTATTGATCCTGTATTAAACTGAGTGTAACGAAATGTCAGACTAGGCGATGCAATGAGAATTAACATGATTGAATTAGAACAGCCGTGAGAGTAATGACCGTGAGAAACAGTAGTGCCGAGTAGGAACAAAAACCCTCATGAGAGAGTCAAGCGAAGTTGAGATAACATCTACAAATAAAAGTCGTAAACGGTCTGCTCAGAGGACCTTTGTGGAAACAAATAACTCAACATATCCGTCCAGAACACTATTACCAAGCAAGAGATAAAATCTTTCGAAGAACAACTCCGAATCCGTGAGTTCCTATCAGGATCCGACCAAGACAGAATTTCGACGTTACAAGCACACCTGCTAAGAGGATGGAAGCCGAATACGTTGCATAGCTACAACAGCGCAGTAAAGAAGTTTATTCACTTTTATAAGAACAATAGAAAGACACCATTCAAACTACCCGCCTCATCGGATGATATATACGACTTCTGCTTAAACGTAGGAAGAACTGAAGTAAACGATTCAAAAGATGCCGTCTTAGCAAAGACACTTGCCAAATATATCAGCGGTCTACAGGCGTGGCACTTATTCCATAAGGTCAAATATCCACACCAGTCGAAAGAAATTGTGAAAATCATGCTGCGAGCTTCGGGGAAAGCAGATGCAGACACTCCAAAGAAACAAGAGAAACCGGCCGTCATGATATTCCACCTATTGGCATTAGATCACGCTCTACGCAACCAATCGACTAGAGACCAAGCGATCCTCGATTGTGCGATATGCGCATTTTGGGGGATGGCAAGGTTGGCAGAATTAACATACGATGAGAGACAGGGGTTACCGCCGAGGGCGACGTCAGTCTTAGCTGAAGATGCTACTCGACCTAAGGGCAAATTATCAAATGTTGTCTTAGTCGTCAGAGGAGCGAAAACAGCAGAACACGGTGAATCCCAACGCATACTGCTGAACTCACAACAAAACCGCCTATGCCCAGTGAAAGCCATACTGCGACGTCTAGAATCTATACAAGACCCGAAAGAAGCTCTGTTTGGTTATTACGATGAGAACGGCAATAAGTTCAACTTAACCAGAAGCGTTGTGGTTAGTAGATGCCAACAGATATGGAAGGCACATGGGTGGAACTCAATTTCTGGCCACTCATTCAGGGTAGGCGGCGCTTCCCTAAGATCAAATCTGGGTGTTTTGGAAGATGACATCAAAAGTCTCGGGCGCTGGACCTCGGACTGTTACAAGTTATACTTGAGAACTTACTCTAACGAAGATAAAAGGATGACCATCTCGATAATAAAAATGCTGAATGACGAAGCACATAAGGAATAGATTGATCATAAGTGTGGGTTTAGCTCTGGCTCAGGCTTATTGATAAATCCGAGTTTTGGGTAGATCACTAACCCCTCACTTTATGCTCTTCCTGTTATCCTGTAGTCTCGTCTAGGTGTCGGGACTCCCTAACCCCTTGTTGCAAATAATTAGGTACCAACCAGATGCCCTACGCGGCTCCTTAAACAATGCCTGTATTTGCATTACGTAGGGTTTAGGAAGACCCCCCCACCCAAACACTTGTAGAATATACAAGCGTACACTTAGCATCACTGAAGTAATGAAAATAGATTGGTGTATCAGAGAAGATACAACAGAGTGAGATTAGGAATAATAAGTTCTAATAAATGAAGTTTCATGTTTTATTACATGATAGACTAGTGTCAGTAGCTCCTGTAAATGAGTCTGTAAGAAAGTAAGAGATATGGACTCTTGATCAATTTACTCTCTTTCAATTTATTGCTCAATCAATTCCATCATAAGCATGTATTTTTCTTTCTTTGAACAACTCCATCATTGTCTAAAATAGTATGCAACTAGTTGATTGAGATCGATGCAAAAAGAGAAAAGAAATTGTGGTGAAGGTGGAAGTTGTTGACAAGGTGTTAGTAAAACTCAAGTTAGGATTGACATTGTTGAAGTTGATCGTACATGAAGATGAAGATAAGGTGCAATCGAGTGTTGAGTGATGAATCAAAGCAGATTGCAGTGTGCAGTTGGTGGTGTAGAAGGATGTGGGTGAGTGTGGTGTAGTGTTTTCGAGGGCACGGAGTTAGCTACCGCGTCGGTAGGCTGGGATAACTTTGTCCCAGCCTACCGATTTTTTGTCGCAAAGTTAATTAACGATCGGTTAAAATTTCCTCATTGGGGAAATTCCAAAATTGGTGAGTTAAATAGTTAGCTATTCCCGCGAGTTAACCCTGTTGTAGAGTTATGGGGTTACACAACTGCACCACATGCAGTCACGTGATAGTTGTACAGCTTGTAGTAGATATGTTCTCTTCTCCTTGGCGTAAGCTTCCACATCATCAACTGTTGTTGAAGCCAACGTCTCGGAGTAAGAACTGACCCCGCCGCCATCCTATTCGCTATAGGTAATACATCATCAACTGTAGCGG